CTGTCTGCCAGTGTGTTAGATTCTGATGTGAGAGTGTTTGCTCCCAGAATTTATCTGTCCACCGTATGCACAGCTGCGACCCGTTTTTCTGCTGTGTGGAGGTGTTAGTTTTAGTATGAGCTTTCAGACACCTGGTTTATAGCTTGATGCCTTACTTTAACACATTATATGAATGAATGAACTCTGTTTGTGCTGTTTGATTTAACGTTATGTTTAATCTTCAGACCTGTCAGAGTCATGGGACAAGTCATAAGATGAACACTCTTTTAGTAGAGCAGTGTTCCTTTGGTGACTGTTCTGCATCACAGCCAGAAAGACCGTATCATTCCATTGTCTTGGTCTCTGTTCGTGTTTTAAAGCAATTACAGCCCTTCCAGGCTCCTTTAACTCCCACAGATTGACAGCTGTCGCCCCTGAACTGTTGTATTAGCCCAGAAGGTCCACTGACATTAAAAAACAGGCGCACAAGAGCAACCCTGTGTTGTGTTCCCGATAGAGCTTCCTGAGTGTGACATTTCACCAAAATCAACAAGCTGTCGATAGCAATTCTCTAGATTAGAAAACTCAAAGTGCTGGTCGGCTGGCATTTGCTGCTCTCAGACATTTTGCTGTGTTCACATTTTCACACGGTTCAAGATTACCCTCTCATTTTTGCTGGATTGTGTTTGATCTGGAAGTCAAAAACATGGCCTTGCTGAGTATGACTAAAGTCTCGTTATGGCAAGTAAACTGACTCCATAAAGTAACTGACTTCATTTCTTGTAATTGCAAATTTGTTTCAAAAGCAGTTTGTTTCAGTGTCATGCACTTTACACTTTATTTGTCATAATTGTGACCTTAGATCTCACATTTGCAATTTTATATTTCACAGTTGCAATTGTAAGTTTATTTATCATAGTTCTCATATTTGCGACTTTATATTTCAAAATTTGACTTTTGTCAGTGTTATTGTAGTATCATGGAGATGCTATTATAGTTTTTATTAAAGGGGTCATATGATGCGATTTCAATTTTTCCTTTCTCTTTGGAGTGTTACAAGCTCTTGGTGCATAAAGAAGATCTGTAAAGTTGCAAAGACTAAAGTCTCAAATCCAAAGAGATATTCTTTATAAAAGTTAAGAGTCAACCACGCCTACCTAAAACGGCTCGTTCTAACACACCCCCACATACCTACGTCACGATCTCGGAAGATTTGCATAACGCCGCCCAAACGTTCACGCAAAGAAAGAAGCCGTAACTTTTATTCTCGCTGTAGTATTATTGCTGCCGCCATGTCCTGAAGACGCTGTGTGCTTCGTTGTGAAAGCGAAACTACTTTG